CCAGCAGTTACAACCGGCATCATCAGGCGGCTGCCAAACCTTTCTAAATTGGCTGCGTCGGGTGGTGGCGGGTGTAACGACACATATATACTTACGCGAGCTAACCCAAAAGAAAAAAAAAAACGTGCATTATGAATATTGTTCGCAAAAGCTAACAACGATGACAACATTGATTTAATTAAAAAAAAGTCCCTTTGAGTTCATTCGGAACGTCTGCTTACAAGAGGTAAAATATTCCAGCGCCGACACTGTTTTAATGAGCTTCGACAAGCAGGTGCGACAATCATCATCATAGTAGGTGGATACAGAACAAAAACAACCCCTTCGCTAAGGGAGGGGTTTGGCAGATTTGGCTCAACTCCTGAATGCAGAATTTAGATAGGCGGAGAATGTTGGCGCTTGTTACAATCCGGTGTGTGGTGTGTGCGTGGTGTGTGTGTGTGCAAGGTGTGTGTGTGCGTGGTGTGTGTGTGCGTGGTGTGTGTGTGCGTGGTGTGTGTGGTGTGTGTGTGCGTGGTGTGTGTGTGCGTGGTGTGTGTGGTGTATATGTGTGTGGTGTGTGTGGTGTGTGTGCGTGGTGTGTGTGGTGTGTGTGTGTGCGTGGTGTGTGTGTGTGCGTGGTGTGTGTGTGTGCGTGGTGTGTGTGGTGTATCTGTGTGTGGTGTGTGTGTGATGTGTGTGCGTGGTGTGTGTGGTGTGTGTGTGGTGTGTGTGCGTGGTGTGTGTGGTGTGTGTGGTGTATCTGTGTGTGGTGTGCGTGGTGTGTGTTCGTAGTGTATGCGGTGTGTCTGTGCGTGGTGTGTGTGTGTGGTGTGTGTGTGTGGTGTGTGTGCGTGGTGTGTGTGTGGTGTGTGTGTGGTGTGTGTGTGTGGTACATGGTGAGTGCGTGGTGTGTGTGTTGTGTGTATGGTGTATGTGGAGTGTCTGTGTGTGGTGTATGTGTGGTGGATGGTGTGTGTGGTGTGTCTGTGTGTGGTGTGTGTGGTGTATGTGTGTGCATGGTGTGTGTGGTGCATGGTGTGTGTGGTGTATGTGTGTGCATGATGTATGTGGTGTGTCTGTATGCGGTGTGTCTGTGTGTGGTGTGTGTGGTGTATGTGTGTGCATTGTTATTCTGCATTTGCGCTAACTGGTATACAATTTTTTTTCCTCGCCCCATACTTGCTATCAGCACGGTCTGCTACATGCCGTGCCGTTTGTATGTCCACGCGCGCGTGTGTGTGCGTGCCAATCGATGTCTTCCTTACTCACGTTCAACCCGTCACCCAAACGGTTACCGGTTTAACCGGTTAACAACGGGTGGAGGGAACCGGAGTAGCCAGAAGTAAAAAAATAATTAACGCCATGCCACGTGACAGCATAACAAACAAAACCCCACACAGGTAATTCTATATTGCCATCTGCTGGACTCTTCTTATTTTTCCAGGTTAATAATAATACTCGTTAAAACAACAACAACAAAGACTATACATTACACTCATTAAAACACGCGTACGGTGGCTTCCGGCCGCAATCCATTATTTTCGTCCATCACTTTACCCTACATTGCTGGGATCACAAAAAAGATCTCCAAAATCTTGAATAAACACAAGATCCAGGTCCGTTTCAACACATTACATAAAATCCGTGATCTGGTTCCGTCTGTAAAAGATGTGATTCCGGACATACAATACCCTGGTGTCTACAAACTAAGTTGCCTCTGTGGTAGTAGTTACATTGGAGAAACCAAACGCCATATCTCGGACCGCATTCGTGAACATAAAGCAGACCTTAAACACGGTAGGACCAACACCTCGGCCGTAGCAGATCATTGTTCTAATTCAGTAGGCTCACATGCCATTGACTTTTCCAAGACGGAGGTTCTTTGTAAGCCATCTGGCTTCCATGAGAGATTCGTTCATGAGGCTATCCACATATACAAACACAGAGACAATTTCAACCGAGAAGATGGATTCTATCTTAGCAATCATTGGAAAGATTTGATAAATCATTTCAGTTCTTGATTGATTGTTCACGCTTACAGTGGCTTTCAGACAGCATACATAAAAACAAATTTCGTCTCCCCCCTCCTCTTTTCAAAAAATAGATGGACTAGTCCTGGCAAACAGCCAATCGTTGCGCGTGACGCAAACGTTATTTTTATATAAATAAATAAATATGCCGTTTTCAAAATAAATTTATGCAAACCGACACACCTGATGATGACCGTTTGAGTTATGGTCGAAACGTCGTGAGAATTTTTATTGTTTTATATATATTTTGTTATTTTGTTGTTTCTCTTCAACGTGACTTTACCGAAAAAACTAAAAATATAGATGGACTCGTCCATCTGAACAAACTGTCAAATCGCTCTCCGTGGTGCTGACGTTAAAAAAACAAACCGCCACTTTTTTCAAAATTTCTTGCTGTGGTTTTCACACCTGACGATGATCGCTGCTCGTGTTGCAGTCGAAACGTCGTGAGGATTTGCTCGTTTTATATATATTTTTTATTAATTATTTTGTTGTTTCCCTTCTACGTGGTGACTTTACCGAAAGAACCGAGAATATAACAACGAAGACGTTTTAGTTCAATGGACGTTTAGCATCGTTCGTGCACATCGCACCTCTCACAATCGCTGGTGGAACCGCACGCAGATGGTGAAGGCGGCAAGCGACCTGCTGGCCGCTGAGCCGTCGCCACCGACAATTTTTTTGCCCAAGTTCTGCAGTCCCGCGTCTTGCGGAGGCTCAGGTGCGCCGTCTTGCGCGCCAGAGTCTGCGCTGTTGAATGCGTTTCACGCTCCGGTTCGGGGTGACAATTGTGGCGTTGTGAAGCCGGCTTGATCATCGAGCCGCGGTGTGCGTTGAACTTCTCTCGCACCGTGCGTAGACAACCATTGCTAGTCGGAGGTGCCGGGGGAAAGGACACCCGAACTTGATAGTGGTGTAGTGTATAGTGTAGTGTATAGTGTAGTGTATAGTAGTGTATAGTAGTGTAGTGTATAGTAGTGTAGTGTATAGTAGTGGAGTGTGTAGTGTATAGTAGTGTAGTGTGTAGTGTATAGTAGTGGAGTGTATAGTGTACAGTAGTGTAGTGTGTAGTAGTGTAGTGTATAGTTTATAGTAGTATAGTGTATAGTAGTGGAGTGTGTAGTGAATAGTAGTGTATAGTGTATAGTAGTGTAGTGTATAGTAGTGTAGTGTATAGTAGTGCAGTGTATAGTAGTGTAGTGTGTAGTGTATAGTAGTGTAGTGTATAGTGTAGTGTATAGTAGTGTAGTGTATAGTAGTGTAGTGTATAGTGGTGCAGTGTATAGTGTATAGTAGTGGAGTGTATAGTAGTGTAGTGTATACTAGTGTAGTGTATAGTAATGTATAGTGTATAGTAGTGTACAGTGTATAGTAGTGTACAGTGTATAGTAGTGTATAGTAGTGTACAGTATATAGTAGTGTAGTGTATAGTAGTGTATAATAGTGTAGTGTATAGTAGTGGAGTGTGGAGTGTATAGCAGTGGAGTGTATAGTGTATAGTAGTGTAGTGTATAGTAGTGGAGTGTGTAGTGTATAGTAGTGTAGTGTATAGTGTATAGTAGTGTAGTGTATAGTAGTGTAGTGTATAGTGGTGCAGTGTATAGTGTATAGTAGTGGAGTGTATAGTAGTGTAGTGTATACTAGTGTAGTGTATAGTAATGTATAGTGTATAGTAGTGTACAGTGTATAGTAGTGTACAGTGTATAGTAGTGTATAGTGTATAGTAGTGTATAGTGTATAGTAGTGTAGTGTATAGTAGTGGAGTGTATAGCAGTGGAGTGTATAGTGTGGTGTATAGTAGTGGAATGTATAGTGTAGTATACAGTAAGTGTAGTTTATAGTAGTGGAGTGTACAGTATAGTGTAGTGTATAGTAGTGTAGTGTGTAACATAGTGTAGTGAATAGTAGTGTAGTTTATATGTACTTTTAACTTCTTTCACACAGTACGTAGCGAAAGGTACTAAATGGAGGAGTGGGGGGCAGGATAACAAACTACAAACACAAAAGGCAGTTCTAAATAAATTAGTTTTCACTTTGATTTTGTAGTGTGGTGTATAGTAGCGCAGTGTATAGTATTCTTATTTTTACTACCTACGTGACTTTACCGAAAGAACCAAAGAGTACAGTGTATAGTAGTGTAGTGTACAGTGTAGTGTATAGTGTGTATGTATTTTTTACTTCTTTTGCGCCGTACATAGCCAACCGTGCTAATTGGGAGGTGCAAAAAAAAATCCACGCGACCACGGAGAGAGAGAGACACGCACACTCCAAATATACAGCAGCAGGTGTCAGGGTCGGGATCGAACCCACGATCTCCTGCATACCAGGCGAGGTAGTTAACATCTCACCACGGTGATGGAGAGAGAGAGGGACACGCACACTCCAAATATACAGCAGCAGGTGTCAGGGTCGGGATCGAACCCACGATCTCCTGCATACCAGGCGAGGTAGTTAACATCTCACCACGGTGATGGAGAGAGAGAGGGATACGCAAACTCCAAATATACAGCAGCAGGTGTCAGGGTCGGGATCGAACCCACGATCTCCTGCATACCAGGCGAGGTAGTTAACATCTCACCACGGTGAGAGAGAGAGAGAGACACGCAAACTCCAAATATTCAGCGGGCGTCAGGGTCGGGATCAAACCCATGACCTCCTGTATACCAGGCCAGGTAGTTCACATCTCACCACGGTGAGAGAGAGAGAGAGATACGCAAACTCCAAATATACAGCGGGCGTCATGGTCGGGATCAAACCCACAACCTCCTGCATACCAGGCGAGGTAGTTAACATCTCACCACGGTGAGAGAGAGAGAGAGAGACACGCAAACTCCACATATACAGCAGCAGGCGTCGTCAGGGTCGGGATTGAACCCACGACCTCGTCAGCACCGCTCGCCCACATCACCATCCACCGGGGCTAACCGCGGTCTTCCTCCCCGACCCCCCACCCACCCCCCCCCCCCCCAACCATCCCCACCTCGGCAGGCCCGGCGCTCAAGGACCTGCCGGACGTGACGGTGTTCTCCACGTGCACGGCCGACTGCCAGAAGTACGGCCACTCCGACAACTGCTGGATGCCGCCGGGCACGGCGTCCGAGGCTGCGGCCGCCCTGCCGCTGCGGGCCTTCACCCTGGGCCGTCCCCGCGGCGGTGGCGCCGCGGCCGCCGCCGCCGTTGCCGCCGCCTCGTCGGCGCTGGCGCTCTCCCACGGCCGCGGGCTCGGCTCCTCCAGCCCCGCGGCGGTCGGTGCGGTCGGCGCGGTCGGCGCCGTCGCTGTCCTATCGTCGTCGTCGTCGTCGCCGGTGGCGGCGGTGGCGGTGGGCCCGCGCCCGCACGAGGCCGGCAAGAGCCGGCAGGCGGACGCGTACTACAACGCATTCTACAGCAACAACTACCGCAGCCACCGGCCTGAGATGTACCACCACCACCACCAGCACCAGCACCAGCAGCACCACGGTGGTGGCGTTGCGGGCGCGGAGAAGATCCCGCTGGCCGAGCTGAAGGCGCGGCCCTTCGATGATGACGACGACGACGGTGACGACGACGACGACGAGGAGGAGGAGGAGGAGGACGAAGACATGGAGGGCGCCGGCTCCGAGGAGCTGCCGCTCACGTCGCAGCCGTACCGGCAGAGCTCCGTGCCCGTCGGCACCCCGCAGGATTTTGGCAGCAAGGAGCTGTACCTCTGAGTCTCGGCGGGCGGGCCGGCCGGCCGGCGCCGATTTCGCCGGTGCCGACCTCGCTGGCGTGCGTGACCTCTGAAAGTTTTTTTGCCGGGAGCGCGTGGGACGCAACGACTTGGAGCGCACCGGCGCCGCCCGCCCGCCCTCTCTCCCCTCGCCGACCTCACCGCCTTCACCGCCGCGAGGACGCTGCGGTAGGAGCGAGTCGGAGCTGTCGCTGCGAGTGCCCGGAACGGGGGGGGGGGCGCGAAACCTCGCCGTGCGGCGAACCCGCGCCGTTTGCCGTCGCTCGGCGGACTTAGAGGAAACCAGAACACCTGGGGTCAAGCCCTCGGGGGGAGCCTCGCGGCTTGCCAGTCGCCACGGCCACCACTGACGACGGCTGACGGAGTGGAGTCGCGGGAAACACCGCGGAGCGCGGCGGCGTCGTCTCCCCACCGCTGAGACGCCGCTCTGGCTCGAAACTGGTCGAGAGCCATCGTCGCTCGGAGCATCGTCGCTCGGAGTATTGTCGGCGCCGGAAGCATCGTCGTCGATCGGAGCATCGCCGTCGCTCGGAGCAATTTTCGTCGCTCGGAGCATCGTCGTCGCTCAGAGCATCGCCATCGCTCGGAGCAATTTTCGTCGCTCGGAGCATCGTTGTCGCTCGGAGTATCGTCGTCGACCTGGAGCTCCCTCCGGCCGAGCGCGTCTCTTAACGAGCGACGGTGCAGGAGGCGGGAGTCCGCTTTGCACGCCGTGGAGGCTCAAGAAGTTGCTTGGATGCGTTTGGGGGTTTACAAATCTTTTTGGCGGTTCGTGGGGGGGTGAGGGGTGGGGGGGGGTGGGAGCGGTGGGGTGGGGTGGGGGGCGGACGACGACGACGACGACGGTTTGAGGAAAGGACCCCGGAGCAGCGTCGGAGCGAGCAAGAACAACAACCCCCTTACGCCGCTCACCCACCCCACCGACCCCTCCACCGCTCGTGGGTTCAGCAACGTTCCCCCCCCCCCTCACCCATCCCCACCACCCCCGGCCAGTTAACGTAGCGGCTTCCATATCCATGGAATCATTTTCACACCCCCCCCCCCTCCCCTCCCATCATCGGAGTGGCCTCCGCGCAAAGAACGGAAGCCCTCCCTACAATATGCAATGATTTTAACGACAATGCAAGGGAACGATGCCGTGCGATTGCATCGCTTTGGGGTCGTGTGACCGCACGCGATGCGGCGGGGGGGGGGGGGGGTGGGGGGAGGCGGGGAGTTTGGGGGCTTTAGAAAAATCAGGCGTTTTTTTTGGGGGTCCGTGGCCCTGCATGATTATTTCGACGCGTATTTGCCGTTCGCTGTGCAAACCACACACGGAAATGACTGTGGACTGTGGGGTCGGCCGGTCTTCTCGAGTGCGTAGATGGAGTTTGGGGTGTGGGGGGGGTGGGGGTGGGGGTGGGGGTGGGGGGGGGTGGCAATCCGGAGGTGGTTGACGCGGTGAGGTTCGGGGTTTGTAAGACGTGGGTTTGTCGGTGATCAAAGGTCGCGGTACGAGGATTCGACTTTCACGCTAAGACGGCGCCCATCGCGAGATCGGTCTGCGGTCGTTCTCTCTCTCGATGTTTTCAGACGTGTACCGTGTTTCATTTAATTAACATTTCTTGTTACATTCATTTCCCCCCCCCCCCCCACCCACCACCCCACCGTAATCGACAGTTCTCACAATCCGCCTGTTCAAGACGGCACCTCTGGGACGGGCCCTGTAAGCCCGTCGGCCATCAGCGCCGTATAATCGGCGGCGCCGGTAGTTGCGCACGCTCTCAGACGCGGCGAGGGATCCGCCCTGAAACGACGGACTTTCGATCGACAGCGAACGATGGGCGGTCGTGTGAACCGCCGTGCCGTCGATAGCTCGGTTACGGTTGTTGTTTGACAATTTGTCTGCAATGGGAACCGTCCAAATTCACAACAGCCATTTCATTTACAACTTTAATCATTGACGCCCGTTCGTTCTTATACTTTCTGCCAGGAGCTCAAATATCAGAATCAAAATATTTTTGTTCATACTGGAGGAATTCGATGCGCTATGAAGTTCTTTTTTCGCAGATGTCCAGGAGGGGGACGGGGTCAGAATGTCGCAACAACAAACAGTGTGAAAACTGATAGGAGTGCAAAGTATGGGAAAGGTAAACAAATATAGAAATGAAACATTTTATTTGGTCTTACTAGGTAAGGCCCACTGAGCCATTAGCTATTTTTTCAGAAGCGACTTTGCCACAAGCGAAAGTGGCTTATCATCGTGTGGAAATCCACAGCAGCAAAATAATCGAAATCATCTAAATGCGTGATGTTGGTGAGCTATGGCATGTGACGAGAGATGAGGTTAACTTTCGATGAAATCTCGACCTAAAGCTTTCGTGGCTGCAGGAATTCACATTCTTTGGGTCTTTCGGTAAAGTCACGTAGTTAATATCTAGATAATATCGATAATGTCACGTAGATAATATCGAGATAATATCTACGTGACTTTACCGAAAGACCCAAAGAATGTAACTTTCCTACCGTTTACTTGAGCTCGTTTTCAGATGCGACCCCCAGCTATTGCAAATGATAACCCGACGAAGTGGCTTATGATCGTCGTGCGGAGACTTATAGCAGCAGTAGCAGCAGTAGCAGCAGCCAGATGTTCCGAACGTACGCACGCGCACCCATGGGATTCGATGACGGACACGAACGACTTTGAGTCGCGCAGAACAAAACAAAATCATGAAACCGAGACGCGCATCCTCGCGTTGTCCGGGCCCGCGTGCGTCGGGTCGGCGAGTGTGGCTGCGAGGGAGGTAATTGGGCTGGAGTGAATCTGAATCACGACATGCCAAGCACATGCCGAGGACATGCCAAGCACACGCGGGCCGGAGAGAGCTCGCGCCATCGAACCCCTCCGACCTCTTATTGTCCCAAGGGGGCGTGCCCGGGCAGGGGTGGGCAGAGCATGTAATTTAATTATTTATTTGTTCGCTCGAGAAACCCACCGACCTCTGTGCGCCGTCGATTGCTCGCATAGAGGGTTAGCCATGGATGGCGGGAGAGCTCCCCATTGTGACGTCACTGCGGGCGGCTGAACAGACACGTGCCCCTCCCCCCTCATCTGCCCGCCCCTTCCCCCGCCCCTCACGTATGGTGGTAGTGGTGGTGGTGGCGGTAGTCCTACGAATCCCGAGTTCGATTCCCGCTCACAGCCACTTTAATCTGGACCGGTCCCGGGCCTCCACGAGGTCGACTCAGCCTCAAAATGGGAAACCCGGTGCAGATTGAAAACTAATTTCTTGAGGACTGCTTTTTGTGTTTAATTTGTGGTCCTTCAACCCCGCAACTCCGATTAGCACGTACGTAGCGAAAGAAGTCCAACGTGCATACATACACACATCCCGGCGACCCGAGTTCGATTCCCGCTCACGGTTAACACCCACTGACGATGATCTGAACCGGTCCTGAACCTCCTCTAGGTCGACTCCGCCTCGAACGAGTACGTGTTGCCATGGTGTGTAGACATCGCCACTGGGGGAGACAAAGGCGGTCGAGCGTGCGGGCTGGCCACGTACTCCCTTGTCCGTATAAGCTGTGCCGGCCTTCGTAGGTGCTGCTCGCTAACAGCACTTGCTCCAGCAAGTCTGTGCCAGGCTATATGGGACACCTTTGTCTTCGGAGGCCGTTGAACTCGGTGATTGACGAGACGAAACATTCACCCCGAGTCCTTGGCAATCGGTGGGGGCATCGACGGGTGATGTTCGCGGCACTAGTAGCGATAGAACAGCTAGTAGACGCTAACTATGTCACTTTATTTCACCAGGTAAGGAAGGCCCCGCTGAGCTCCGTAGCTATTTTGCAGAAGCGACTTGCATATCATCACAAATGATGGCTCAACGAAGTGGGCTTATCAGCATCATCGTCATCACGTGGGAATTTATAGCGGCAAACCAAATTACTCGAAACGCGTGACGTTCATTCTAAATGTGGAGGGACAAAAGTGGCTTATCTCGGGGGAAAAACAGCCAAATGCTCTAAGCGCATGTTGGTTAATGTGGAGGGGAAAATCCGGAGGACCCGGAGACTAAATCCACGCCACCACGGAGAGAGAGAGAGAGACACGCAAACTCCAAATATACAGCAGCAGGCGTCATGGTCGGGATTGAACCCACGACCTCCTGTGTACCAGGCGAGGTAGTTAACATCTCACCACGGAGAGAGAGAGACACGCAAACTCCAAATATACAGCAGCAGGCGTCAGGGTCGGGATTGAACCCACGACCTCCTGTATACCAGGCGAGGTAGTTAACATCTCACCATGGAGAGAGAGAGACACGCAAACTCCAAATATACAGCAGCAGGTGTCAATGTCGGGATTGAACCCACGACCTCCTGTAGACCAGGCGAGGTAGTTAACATCACACCATGGAGAGAGAGAGACACGCAAACTCCAAATATACAGCAAGTGTCATTGTCGGGATTGAACCCACGACCTCCTGTAGACCAGGCGAGGTTGTTAACATCTCTTAGCCACCGTGGCAGCACCAGATAAGGAGGCGACTGACCGCCGGCCAGGAGTCATATTGGCGAGCGCCGGATCATCAATCAACGCGACCCGCGCTGCCTTCTCACCGGCTTCTGTTTGGCGTGGCACCGGCGAAACCTGGCACCGGCGAAACCTGGCACTGGTGAAACCTGGCACCGGTGAAACCTTGCACGGGCGAAACCTGGCACCGGCAAAACTGGCACGGGTGAAACCTGGCACGGGCGAAAACTGGCACGGGCGAAACAGGGCACCGGTAAAACCTGGCAGTGGAAGAACCTGGCACCGGTAAAACCTGGCACCGGTGAAACCTGGCACTGGTGAAACCTGGCACGGGCAAAACCTGGCATGGACTAAAACTGGCACGGGCAAAACCTGGCACCGGCGAAACCCGCACCGGTGAAACCTGGCAGTGGAAGAACCTGGCACCGGTGAAACCCGGCATGGGCGAAACCTGGCAGAGGAAGAACCTGGCACCGGTAAATCCTGGCACCGGCGAAACCCGGCACCGGTAAAAACCTGGCACCGGCGAAACCTGGCACCGAACACCACCGGCGCACTCACAAACGAGCCTGGCGCCACGCTCGGCAGGAGGAGACTGCTGCTGATGCTGCTGCTGCTGCAGCAGCGGCAGCAGCAGCCGGTCGCTGGCGCCAGGGGCCGCGATGCGGTGGGCTGGCATCACCGCGGGATCTCCGGCGTGGTTACGGAGGGCGGGCGGTGAGGGCTTTCGCCACGGTGGGAATCTTTTAGATTCGGCTGCTGCTGGAGGAGGAGGAGGAGGAGCAGGAGGAGGAGGGATCGGATGAAGCCTCGCAGACGTTACGGCGACGGCAGGCAGCACACACACACAGAGCGCGAACAGTGACACCGATAGGAGTGTAAAAGTAGAGAAAACGGGAAGCAAGTCAATAGATGTAAATAAACAATGAGTACATTAAATATATATGCGTGTTTTACGAAGTCCGATTTGTCAAGCTTGGGCAAGGCAGCGAAAACAACAACAGTCCCAGACCACACCACACAAATAACACCACACCACCACCACGATAACACCACACACCACCAAAATAACACCACACCACCACCCAGATAACACCACACCACCACCAAGATAACACCACACCACCACCCAGATAACACCACCACCAAGATAACACCACACCACCACCAAGATAACACCACACCACCAAAATAACACCACACCACCACCCAGATAACACCACACCACCACCAAGATAACACCACACCACCACCATGATAACATCACACCACCACCCAGATAACACCACACCACCACCAAAATAACACCACACCACCACCAAGATAACACCACACCACCACCCAGATAACACCACACCACCACCCAGATAACACCACCACCCAGATAACACCACCACCCAGATAACACCACATCACCACCAAGATAACACCACACCACCACCACGATAACACCACACCACCAACCAGATAACACCACACCACCACCCAGATAACACCACATCACCACCCAGATAACATCACACCACCACCCAGATAACACCACACCACCATCCAGATAACACCACACCACCAACCAGATAACACCACACCACCACCCAGATAACACCACATCACCACCCAGATAACATCACACCACCACCAAGATAACACCACACTACCACCCAGATAACACCACACCACC